AAATATAATTTAAATAAAATTTAAAAAAAAAAAAAAAAAAAAAAAAAAAGTTTTATACTAAAAAATAAAACTTTTTTAAATTAATTTCTAGTTTAATTATTTGTAACTTAAAACAAAAATATTAAATTATTTCTTAACAAAACAAATATCTTATTACCATATATAAAAGTTTATTATATGTAAAAAAATTTGTTTATTAAAAATTAAATATATTTTAATTAATTTTAAGTTTTTTATTTTATTTTTAATTTTTAGTTAATTTATTATGTTTTACTATATAAAAAATAATGATTCTTATTAAATTCTTTATTAAATTTAATATTATTAGTATTAATATTCAAATTAAATATTTATATTGTATATAAATTTTTATAACTAATTTTTTGGATTATAATTTAAATATACTACTTTTTTAAACTAATTATAGTATAACCTATCTTTTTTTTTATCTTGATTTTTATTTTAAAAATCCATTACTAATATACAGTAACTTATTATTATCAAATGAAAATGTTCTGATACTCAATATCTTTCTTAATCATTTCATTTTTCAATATTTTTGATAAAATTTGTGTTTTTTAGTCTCTTATACTTTATAATACTTTGTTGCTGATATTATTTTGCGTATATTTTATAAAGAATATCAACTTTTTTGTTATTTCTAAAAATAATAATTAACAAGATAGAAATATATTTATTAAAATAACTTGATTGTATCGGAAGTTATGAAATTGCCTATAGCGTTGAAATAGAACCTGTACTTTTTTTGTTTTTCCAGATTCGGAATGAAATAATAATACTATTAATTAACATGAAAATATTAAGAAAGAGAAATTTGTATAACAATTAGTCATTACCAAATAAGATTCTTAAAAGTTCGGTGCTAAATTCGGTAAAATTGTCTTGATGTTACCAATTTACATATTTGAATCAACGATTAAATCAAACACACCTTGATAATCACTTTGCTTGGAATGCCCCCAGTCGAGATTCACCAGCTTAACTTCGGTCCCATCACTGCCCACGCCTTCAACAAAGACCGAACACGTAGGTTTGTTAACATTCATATAGGAATAAATGTCGACCGTTTCTAAGCTAGATGCTGTTTAACTCGCTTTGTTAGAGGTCGCCGTTTGTCCTAATAATAATGAAGTACACATTCATCAAAAGACTGCAGGAGGGTGGAGTTTAATACATACTTTAGTAGAGGCAAGTATTAACGTAAATTTCTGACTTTGATTAGAATAATATAAGCAGCGTTGTAACTTTAATTTCAAATTCAGCACGATAAATTGGTCACCAGCATCGATTGGGCACCTGAATCTAATCGATTAGGTTAGTTAACAATGTATTATAACGCCATTAAAAAAATTGTATCTAATTTCACTTCGTCTAATCTGTAGTTACAAGTTCTCAAGACCGAAATGCATATGTTTGGAACCTCGACCAGGCTAGTGGTAAATGGAAACCAACTCTCGTGTTGTTGCGAATTAATCGTGCGGCTACGTTCGTGCGTTGGTCTCCCAACGAGGATAAATTTGCTGTAGCATCCGGTGCGAGATGTATAGCTATTTGTTATTTCGATGAGGAAAATGACTGGTGGAATAGTAAACATCTTAAGAAGCCGATTAGAAGCACTGTTTTGAGTCTTGATTGGCATCCAAACAATGTACTTTTAGCTGCCGGTTGCGCAGATTTTAAGGTAGTGTGAAATCTTTGAGAGAATTCACACCACAAAGTTAATTCAAAAATTAACATCATCTTATTCGATCGAATGATAGGCGCGCGTATTCTCCGCATATATCAAGGGTGTCGATCAAAAGTAATGAAATTAGAAAATGTATGAAAATCAGCGATTTACCCTGTTCATAACGCAAATATACGTTTTTAAAAATTTTAGACCATCTCCCACACCATGGGGTGATAAATTACCATTCAACACTGTATGCGGAGAATTTTCTAATGGTGGAGGCGGTTGGATTCACAGTGTGGCCTTCTCACCGAGTGGAGATTCATTAGCCATCACTGGTTTGTGACAAGAATTCGGCGTATGGTTAATTTTGAATATGGATAATCACCTATTGTATTTCTTTTTCAGGACATGATTCACAAATCACCATCATCAATGCTGGCGCCGAAGAACAGGTCATTAGAATATCTGGTTTGCCGTATTTGAGCTTGCTTTGGGTGGCCGAGAATCAATTTATAGCTGCCGGCCATGACTGTGCTCCAGTACTATTTGAAAAACAGGGCGGTCATTGGTGAGCTGAATAGATTGATTTTACCATTTGAGATCCTAATAATATTCACATATCCACTTGAATAAAATAGGAAGCTTTCCAAAGTAATTGATACCGGTAAGAAGAAGAGTGTCGGTGAATCGACCGCGTTCAACAGATTTCGCGAATGGGACTCGCGCGGAATCACTTCACGTTCTGAAGAAAAGGAATTGAATACCGTTCACCAAAATGCCATCACGTATGTATATTAAAGAATTTCAATTATCCGATGTTTTCTTTATCATTAATACAACCAACATCTCCATGTCAAAATTAAGATCTCTTCGACCTTATAAGGGTACTCGTGATAATTTATCTCTTTTTTCATCAAGTGGTTTAGACGGTAAACTAGTGATTTGGGATTTAAAGGGCTAGGAGTGTGTGAAATCCACTTCAACATTGTTGTTATTTATTTTTATAAAATATATATAAGGTTTTTATATAGATTCATTCGTAAATATCTCATAATCTGGTGCAAAATGTGTTAAATAAATTGATGTGCTACATTTTAATCATACATTTTTTATTAATTAAATGTAATTTGTTACAATATAATTTAGTTATAATTTTTTTCAATATATTTTAATTATAAAAAAATAAAATATAGTATATCAAATTCTTATCAACTTTTCAATCAATTTAAAAATAAAATGTTTAGAAGAATTAAATGTTTTTTTAATAGTATCAATATATAATATCAGTTATTAGTAACTTATTCTCTTTTAAAAATTCAAATTTGATTTGATTGTCTCAAAGAAGTTAGGACATATAGTTTATTGTAATTTCTTATTCTCTGATTTTTTTTAGATTTTTATAATTCTGAAACAAAATTTAGTTGAGAACTAAATTTTAAAGATTATTTTTTTAATAATTTTTTTTAACTTGAAATTTTTTAATAAATGATTTATAAATCAATAATTTGTATAATTAAAAATTCTTAAAAAATTATATGTTAAAATCTAGATTCTTTTTATATTATTGACAAAAAATTTTAATATATTTTGATAAAACACTTATTAAAAAATTAATTTTAAATTTTAAATTTGCTTAATTCAAATAAAACATCTAAAATACAATTTTTATCAATTTTATTATATAATTATTATTATTATTATTATTTTAATAAGCAAAAATGTGCAAATTTTATTGAATATTTTATTATTACCAATATATTAATAATTATTTATATAGTAAATAATCAATGCTTGCTAAAACTATTAAATATCATATGCTAATTCTAAAAAATCTTATAAAAAAAAAGAAAAAAAACAAATAACAGCTAGCTATTAGTTACATTATATATTATATATATGTATTTACTAAGTATATATTAAGGAAAATATAATTTATATACTTAATGATATATAGTGTGGATCAAAGATAATTGGACAGCGACATGTGGATCTATAGCACAGTGGTTAGTGCTTCACAGGTAA